TCCATCCCATTAAAAAGTCATTTGGGGACAGAAAGTTTGAGCACTGTCGTCATACTTTGAAATGTGTGCCCAATAAAAAATGTTTCTTTCCGATTTTCATGCTACTTTTTGTCTTGTGATGACCCCTCCTGGCTGAGCTGTTCATTATCTGAGATTCGGGTAGTTCACTTTTTTTTTTTTTCCCTCTGAACATTTTTAGTTTTAAGAACATAACTCTCATCTTTCTTCAGAGCTCTATATAATATAAATAAAACTTCTCGTGGAAGGTAGAACATGTAAATGTAAAGTGCTGAACACATGACGCACATCCTAATAGTGAAAGTCTATATGATTCTTATTAATTCATTCATTTCCAGGACTTGGGGCAGCTTTGGGATTTTGATCCATTGATTGAAATTAAAAAGAAAGTGATCTTCATTAGGCCATTTGGCATTTTTAAACAATAAAATGTAAGAGCTAAATAAGTACATTTGAATAATGACCCATAACTATTAATGATCTTAAAAGTAATGGTCTCTGCTCTCCCCTCTCTCCAAAGTCTAAGTTGGAAAACCTGAGAGATATTTCTGAAATAACAGCCTTTCCATTCTCAGGCTGTGTTAGCCCCCGGGCTGCACGCGTGCCAGGCTGGACACGCGGCCGGGCCCCAGCGTGATCCCTCAGAGCTCACACCTACAGGAGGACAGGCCACGGGCTCGGGAACAGCCTGCCACCCGCGAACACACGCAGCTCGCTCCCTAACAAGGTTATTTTCCCAGGAAGGCGGCAGTTAATTCTACGTGGACAGACCTCGATAACAGAAACTGAAACTTTATCAAAAAGAATGTCCTGGGGGTATTTATGTAAACACTCGTGCCAAGAATGACACATCTTCACAATTTCTGTTTCGATCTAGTCAACGGGTATAAAAATATTCCCAATATGTCACTTTCTAGGTTTTATCTGTTTTGTGGGGGGAAACACACACACACACTCTAAAATGCTTGTCAAGTTCATGACAAATTTAGCCACTTAGTCTCTCCCTGTCCTTTAGTGCAAGAAACACGAAGCACAGACCTTGTCTGGGAAAATGTCTGGAAACCAAGTCTGGCTGGTCATGGGACACTATTCTGTAGTGGATCCTTCAGCGCACCTGCTAGGGACCTTCCAACATCCCCGCTTGTTCACATGTGCGCCCCAGAGTAAGCGCACTGACACCAGCGTGCCGGAACGTTTGCATCAATGCACCCCAGGGTCTTGCAAACAGAGGCAGGACTCCTTCCCAGGGGAGGAATTTGGGAAAAACACTCAACTTTCACCCCTCCCCCCCCCAAAAAAATGGAAAGCATCTATCTTTAAACTTCAAAATCTTCAGGATTGGTGTTTCAGGCCTCATGCACTCTCAGGAAGGAGCCTGAGCCCTGGGAAAGCCATCCTGGGATGGCCATGGGCAGCCTGGGCGCCTTTAACTCCCCGCGAGCCGGGAGCCACCCGCACCCCGCCCTGCGCGCGCGGCGCGCATACCCGGGGCCACGCAGGAGACGCGCCGCAGCCCGCAGGCTTCCCAACGCCCTGGAAACACCAGCCTTTCTCATGTTTATTTCCTGAATTATTTTTTTAAGCTGGCTAAAACACACACGGAGACGAACATATGGAACAGCATCACCCCCCCGCCCCCCCCAGAGAACTCCAAATCTGTTCGCTACGACACTACGGCTGCTTCGCACTGGCTGCCCCAGGTCCCGGGGCTGCATTGCCTCCAGCGCCAAGGAACGCGAGCAATTTCGGGGACCACACCGGGTCCCCCGTCTCCATTTTCATAAGCAAAGTACTCAACGCTCATTCACTCGTCGGGGCGGGCGGCGGGGAGGCTTCCAGGCGAGCCCCTGGGTGCCCAAGCTGCTCGCAATCCGCCGCTCGTTCCTGACCACATACGTGCTCCATGTAACTTGGAACCATAAATAAACATAAGAAACTTATTTCTGCCACAGGCTTCACTTTTCGGCCACCGACCTGCCTAAGCCAAACGCCATGAACTTCCTCCGTACGCACACAGACAGACGCACAGACACACGGACACCACCACCCCCCGGACTGGCAGAGCAACCCCCCCAGGAGCCGTCGTCCGCAGGCAG